TAACAATCTTTCAGCGACGGAGTAACTGGATGTGGTCTCTATCTAGCATTGAGTTTCCTGCTAGAACGAATGGCTGTCGAAAGAGAATGCGATGTTTCTTTAGCAGTGCGAGCCGTTAGACGATCAAGACCAGATTTTGTTCATTCTTTGGTAATATAATTTTAACAAAAAGAAAAAAATGTTGATAAACATTTTATCGATACAAAATTGTATTCTTCATTTTTACTATACAAAAAAATTATAAGAAACTTTAAATAATATATTCAAGTAAGAAATTTTATTTAATGTTTATAGGAACATCTGGAATACCTATACGATGCAGCAGAGACATATTTGAAATATTTTGAAACCTATGCGAATTTTTCATAAATTAAAAAGTTATTAAGTTATTAAGATAAGATAATAAAGCAGCATTACATTGTATAATTATAAAAAGTCGAATGTAGCAATATGCATATGTATTAAATATTGATGTATATTAAGTATATAAACATTGAGGTTTTGTAGTGTAACCTAAAAAATGTTTTATTTATTAACAATTGTATTTTTGGAAATATATAAAATATTGTATTATGGAGAATAATAGTGAGTATAACTTTATGCTTTCCTCAGTTTTTCTATTTTATGACCAAGGTGAACCACCTTCGTGTTTATGGATACGCCATACGCGACATACATATCTTTTATCTGATAATGCGGGAATGCGCATACTATTAATTCGAAATGTTAAGTGATGTAACTTTTATGAGTAATATCGTTAGCAAGTAAAGCCCAATTGAACCAATTACGTTGACTTGAAGCGAGGCTTAAAATTCTCTCTATCTCTCTTTCTCTTTCAGTTTTAAAACGAGACAGATAGAATTTTAAGTCTCGCTTAAAGTCAAAGTAACATTGATGTAACCGGACCTAAGTGAATTTGATTTATCTTAAGAAATTCAAAATTAATTTGAAAAACCTACTCCACTTAAAAATTTTAAATAAATGTACAATGTGTATATTTAAATTTATTTAAAATGTTCCATATCAATGCTTGATATTTTTCATTTAATATCATGTATCAATCTAGGAAAAAATATTCTATTAAATATAATTATATACAATTATATAAAATTATATATAATTATAAAATTGCAGGGTTGGCAAAGAATAGATAATGCTTTTTTTTTTAAGAATATATCATGTTTTTAAGAATGTATTATGTTTCTTTGAAAATATATTTTTAATGCTTCAAA